ATAGATCTTTTACTCAGTAAATCCTTTTTTTTGAGAGATACATTCTAAAATGAGAAAATACTTAATTTTTCTGTTCATTGAAGATATTTTTTTAAGCAATCCCAGGAATCCAAACCCATGCCTCCTGCATGCGAAGCATCTACTCCAGTCCATTGAGCTATCTCCCTAGCCCCAGTTTTATTTTATCACTGAGGTAAAAAAAAGTATCATTGTACTAGAATTGATCAGATATTTCCTGTAAATCCTTGGTGACCCCTAGAGATATGATCTATGAGGATTTGACGTGAACCCAAAAATAGGAAACAAGAGTGTCATAAGATAGTGAGAAGCAACTCAGAAGCCAAGAGTAGTTTTTGGTTTTTGCTTTAGTCTGTGCTTCCCCCCACACATACTTAAAATAGGAAAAGATGAATCTTTTAATATACAAGACTTTAAGGAAGAACACATAATTCTGTGGAATTTGTACTTCTCTTCCTTTTTTTATTTCTGTTTTTTTGGGCCAAACCTGACTGTGCTTAGGGTTTACTCCTGGCACTGAGCTCAGGGATCACATCACTCCTGGCAGTGCTCTAGGGATTATTTGTGGTTCTCTATAAGGCAAGCACTTTACCCTGGACTGTCTCTCCAGCCCCTTCCGCTAGTCTTTTTAAAGGTTATCTCAGCTGAGATGAGATCTTAGCCCTGGGGCAGAATTTACAGGAATCTGAACTGTTCTAACACTGGAGAATAATTTTTGTATTATTAGGAGAATCCTCCTAATACATAATGTATCTGTCTGTGTTGCTCAATAAAAACCTTTCTGTCAACATGCAGTACCGGGACTAGAGAGATAGCACAACGGGTAGGGCATTTGCCTTGCACATGGCCAACCCGGATTCGATTCCCAGCATCCCATATGGTCCCCCAAGCACCGCCAGGAGTAATTCCTGAGTGCAGAGCCAGGAGTAACCCTGAGCATCACCAGGTGTGACCCAAAAAGAAAAAAAAAAAGCATGCAGTACTGGGTACTGGGTATGGCCTCTCTGACTTGACTCTTAGACAAGGGAGCATGGATAGTAGCTTACTTTTGTCTTCTGTCTTGTAGCCTCACTGATTAGGTGATTGATTATGCCTAGGAAAAACAGAATTGGGTCCTAGATAGTACTATAGTACTACCAGTAAGGTAGTCCCCCTGCAGTTTTCCCATTTAAAAAGTTTTAAAATGTTGCTTTTAAATTTTAAAATTTAAAACTTTTAACTTTAAAAATGTTACTTGTTATTACAGATTAAGGAGAAGTTGCATAGATAGTATAGAGGTCTTACTTTTCACCCATTTTACCCTAATGGTTGCATCTTATATAACTATATTACTTTATCAAAACCAAGAAGTTAAGGTCTATAGAGTGTGTTACAGGTTCTGTGTCACTTTACTATTTATATAGATTCCTGTAACAAAGGCTATACGCAGGTTGTAGAACTATTTCGAATCTAGCTTTTCCCTATCCTTGACAACTCTTGTTATAACCTGACTTTGTTATCCTAGCTGGCACATAGCTTATTGTAGTTTTTATTGGCTTTACCTTGATGACTAATGTTGAACATCATTTCATATGCATGTTGACCATTTCACATTTTTATATGTGTATATGTTTGTGTGTGTGTGTGTGTGTGTGTGTGTGTGTGTGTGTGTGTGTCCAGATTGCATACCGTTTTCTTTCCTTTCCTCCCCTATTTATTTGTTTGACCTCTTCAGCAGTCTTGTGGATCTTGGTGGTGGTGGAGCACTTCCTGCAATACTCAACCCAGCTATAAGTGTCTGATGATTCAGTGCTTGGGCCCCGTGATGCATTGCTGCTAGGGCCACTAGTGGAGCTCACTGGGCCTCTGAAAATACTATTTCTTACTCTGTGAACTCTCTTTTTATTTTCCTGGTAAAGTCCTTGGAAACACAGAAGTTTTAAGTTTTTTCTTTCCCTTTCCTTTATTGTTTTTGTGAATGTCTAGGGGTTGCATGCACTTGGTTGTGGTGCCCATACTTGTTTATGGTACACCAGAAATCATACACCATGTTGTGGCACTGAGATTTATGGATGACAGTGCTGCTGTGATTGTGGAATAATTTGTAGGATTGAAACCAAGACCTCTTACCAGCAGATGCTCTGACCACTGAGCAACCCTCATGTCCTACAAATTTCAAATTGTGCTGAAATGATCAATTTGTGTTCATTTTTTGTTTTTGTTTTTGCTGGTTATACTCCTAGTGTTACCTTGAAGAATATTTTGATAGGCGTCGGAGAGATAGTATTACAGGCAAGGTGCTTACCTTGCACATGGCTGACTCAGGTTTTATCTCTGACACCCCATATGGTACCTTATGCCCCATCAGGAATGATCCCTGAGTACAGAGCCAGGACTAAGTTCTGAGCACTCCTAGGTGTCGCCCAAAAACGAAACCAAAAAGATGTATTATTTATTTCGCAAAATCCAGAATTATGAAGGCTTACTTCATTTTTTCTTATGTGCTATTTTCTTTTGAGGCCATAAGGCCCCAACCAGCAGTGTTTGTATGCCATGCAGTTCCAGGAATCAAATTCAGCATCACATATGCTAGGCACATGGTCTGAGCACTGTTTGAGCTACTTTACTGCTTGGCCCACCTGTCTTTCTCCCCTCCTTTCCCTTCTCCTCCCCTCTCCTGCTTTTACTTTTGCATTTTGGTCTTTTATACATTTGGAATTTAATTTTTCTATGTGATCTGAAGGGTCTGACTTTGTTCCTTTGTATGTGTCTGTTCAGTTGTTCCAATACCACTTGTTGAGAATTTTTCCATTGAATAGTAGCACCTTGTAGAAAATAGGTTAGCTATAGATATATTAGAGAGAGAAAGGATATGAGGAAATATTGTTGGTCTCATAATAGAGGTGAGGATTGCATACATCGAATTGGTAGAATTTTAGATAGAGTAGACATTAAGACAAAGTCCTTTAAAATTTGATGTTAAAAGACCAGAGCTACAGTACAGTGTGTAGGTCACTTGACTTACATGTGGTCAATTAGGGTTCAATCCCCGGTCTCACATACGGTGTCACCTTCCAGGAGTGTCCCCTAAGAGCAGAACCAGTCAGGTGTGGTCCAAAAACCGAAACAAAATTAAAATTTGATATTGTTATGAAGTCTTATATAAGATATGCATCAGAAAGTTGTTTTTAACAGTAGGGAAAAACCAGTAAAAATATTAGTTAATTATGAAGAGGATCTTATTGATTTTTGTTGCAACTTTCCTTCTGAGAGGCAGTCTGCAAAATAACTTGAATTTCCTACAAAGCTATTTCCTTACAAGATGTTTTACTTGGTAGGTTAAATGATGGAGAGAGAGTACAGCATTTGCTTTTTGTGTGGTTAACTCAGGTTCAATCCCTGGCACCGCATATGGTTTCCAGAGCCCACCAGACAATGATCCCTGAGTAGACCAGGAGTAAGCACTGAGCAAGGCCAGATGTGGTGCCCAAGCAAACTGCACTGTACTGCACTGTCCTGTTGTTCATCGATTTGCTTGAGCGGGCCCAGTAACGTCTCCGTTGTGAGACTTCTTGTTACTGTGTTTTGGCATATTGAATACATCACGGGTAGCTTGTCAGGCTTTGCCGTCTGGGCGAGATACTCTCGGCAGCTTGCCTGGCTCTCCGAGAGGGGTGGAGGAATCGAACCCAGCTTGACCAGGTCCGCCTCGCACAAAGCAAATACTCCAGCCCACCCAAACACCAAAAAAAAGCCAAATTTTAAAAATATTAAGATGGTTTGGATTTGTATTTCCTTGATTAGTGATATAAAGCATTTTTTATACGTTGGTTGGCTATCGGTATGTCTTTTCTTGTTTTTGCTTTTTTTGAACAATATTCTGGAGGTGTATGGAGGGGTGGTTACTCCTGGCTTTGCCCTGGGGGCCATGTGCCCGGGATCAAACCCAGGCCTCTCACAGGCAAAGCATGTCTTTAACCTGTTGAATTCTCTCTCCAGCCCTATTTATATGTCAGTTTTGGAGAATTCTCTGTCCAAGTCCTTTGCTAATTTTTAACTGGATTATTGAATTATTTGTTGTTGAGTTGTAGAAGTTCTTTGTATATTCGGAACATAAGTGCTTAATTTCCTATAAGCTCTATCCAGAGCTAGCTAACTGTATACACAAACATGTGCATACATATATGTACATATTGAGAACGATGTGGCTTTCTGATATTTTCTCCTCTTATAAGTTGCGCTCTCTGTTGATTTGTCTCCTTTTCTGTTTAATATATTCATATTTACCTATTCTTGCTTTTATGTCTGCTTTTGGTGTCAGACCTAAGAAATCATTGCTAAATCCAGTATCATCAAATTTACTGTTTTCTTCTAGGAGTTTTATAGCGTTATGTCTGATATTTAGGCTTTTAACTTACTATTAGCTCTCTTTTCCTCCTCCTCCCTGTCCTTCCGTTTCTTCCCACACTTGCAGTGCTGGCTTAGTCCTGACTCTGTACCTAGGGATCACGCCTAGCTGTGTTTGGGGGATCAGACTCAGTGCTAGGGATTGAACTAAGGTTAATCACGTGCAAAGCAAGCACCCTGCCTCCTGTACTCTTGTCCCTTTGATGTGTATTTTATATTTATGGCTTTGGGAAGGAAATAAGAACTCTTTCTTAGTATGAGTATATCAGAAATTTTCTGTGTTTAAAATTCTTTTCCCGGGGCTGAGGTGATAGTACAGCGGGTAGGGCATTTGCCTTGCATGCAGCCGGCCTGGGTTTGATTCCCAACATCCCCGAGCACCACCAGGAGAACTTGGTCAGCTGCCTGCAGGACAAGCGCCCTACCCGCTGTGCTGTCGCTTCAGTCCCTCACGGTGCTTTAAGGTAAAAGGTAAGGTAAAGGCCCTCCCGTTGATCGTCGATTTGCTCGAGCGGGCCCAGTAACATCTCCATTGGAGACTTTGTTGTTACTGTGTCTGGCATATCGAATACTCTCGGTAGCTTGCCGGGCTCTCCGAGCTTCGGCAGCACATATACTAAAATTGGAACGATACAGAGAAGATTAGCACGGTGCTTTAATAAAATAAAATTTAAAAACTAAAATAAAATTCCTTTCCCTCTCCTCTCCTTCCCTCGCTGCTTCTTTCCAATATAGTTTAAAGGTGTGGGCGCATATTTTTATTCTTTAAAAATATTTTATTTATTAGTTATCATCATTATTATTTTTGGGTCATACCTAGTGATGCTCAGGGGTTACTCCTGTCTCTAAACTCAGGAATTACTTCTGGCATTGCTTGGGGAATCATATGGGATTCTGGGGATTGAACCTGGGCTGGCCACATACAAGACAAATGCCCTAGCCACTGTACTATCCTTCCTGTCCCATATATTTTTATTCTCAATTGCTAGAATGTTAGTAGAATGATAGTTAAATTTCAATAACATCTTTTTGTTACTTGATTATCAGGAAGAAGATGAGCCTTAAGTCGGAACGCCGAGGAATTCATGTGGATCAGTCGGAACTCCTATGCAAGAAAGGATGTGGTTACTATGGCAACCCTGCTTGGCAGGGTTTCTGTTCTAAATGCTGGAGGGAGGAATACCACAAAGCCAGGCAGAAGCAGATTCAGGAGGATTGGGAACTCGCAGAGAGGTGAAAAAATCTTTTCTGGGGACAGTTTAACAGTGATGTAATTGAATACATAGTTCTGTCTTTGTCAGGATACTTTTTTCTCTTCTCTTTTTTTTTTTTTTTGGTTTGTTTGTTTTTTTGCTTTTTGGGTCACACCTGGCGATGCTCAGGGGTTATTCCTGGCTCTGCACTCAAGAATTACCCCTAGTGGTGCTCAGAGGACCAAATGGGATTCTGGGAATCGAACTCGGGTCGGTCACCTGCAAGGCAAACGCCCTACCCACTCTGCTATCGCTCCAGCCCCCTTCTCTTCTCTTTTGAACTCTCAGTACATTAGTCAACATTTAGTGATAACTTTCAGTGCTTTATTCGGTGAATAAAAAAATCTCTGACTTTTAGTTATTTTGTTTCAAGCACGTAATGGTTTTAATTTCTAATAAGACAATAAGCTCCTTGAAATAGAAGAATGGAGATAAATCAACTCCATGGAAAAGATAAGAGTTGTGTTGTACTTAGTACAAGGTATGATACATGATTCTCAAGAGGCTTTTGTTTTCTTATCTTTTTATATATCCTGCTGGCATTGGACACAAAAACCTAATAGTATAAGCCTGTTGATTTATACATTTATTCCCTTTGTTTTGGAAATTTACTGATTTTTCATCAGTAATGGAGCAATAGTTCAGCTGGTAAGGTGTTTGCCTTACAGGTGACCGACTTGAGTTCGATTCCTCCGCCCCGCTCATAGAGCCTGGCAAGCTACCGAAAGTATCTCGCCCACACGGCGAAGCCTGGCAAGCTACCCGTAATGTATTCGATATGCCAAAAACAATAACAGCAAGTCTCACAATTTGTTGTGAGACGTTACTGGTGCCCGCTTGAGCAAATTGATGAACAATGAGAAAACAGTGAAAGTGGCATCAGTGATGGAGTTTGTAGGTCAAAAGTAGTTTGTATTATCTAGACGTTTATGATTATGATACAAGCGAAAGATGAAATGATTGGCAAGCATGATGACTAATACAGTAAAATACCACGAATATGTTAATTCTTTTCCAAAGCATTCTATAAGTTGTAGAATTTCTCAATGAAGGATACTAAAACTGAGCTCTGACAGCTTTTTTTTTCCTTGTGTGACATTTTTGAAATATTTAACCAGCCAGATTTATTGAAGGAATACATTGCTAGCATCTGTGGTAAACTCAGAATTCAAAGCACACTCACTGCTTTCAGTGACTTCATGGCCAACAAGAAAACTTAGACATAAAACATTAATAGTTTCCTCTGATTTCTTTTCTATTGCATTCTTAATACTCTCAGTGGCTGATCCTATTTTATAAAGAAAATTGAAGCCACTAGGGCATGAATTCTCTTAGCTTTTTCCTGTCTCTACACTGGGATAAGTTAATATTTTTATTTTCACTAGCTTCTGTTTTGTCTCAGAGAAAATGCATCTATTCAATTCTCAGACTAGCACCCCTACTTGTTATTTTGTTGCTGTCTCTTACTGTTTCCAGTTTTGACCTTGCTTGACATTTCCGGCAGTATCGTTCTTCAAGTTTGAACAGTTATACAAAATCACCTGGAAAGCTTACAAAAGCAGTGATGGCTGGACCTTGCTACAGTGCTTGACTTTAGTAGGCTGGGAGTGAGGCCTGAGTTTTTGCATTTCTTAAAAGTTCCTGAGTGATGCTGTTGCTGCCAAATGGAGATTCACACTTTGAGAACATCTGTTTTGTTAAAAAGCCTTTTGTACTATAAATACCTTGAATTTTGTTAATATAAATTCGACCAGATTTATTGCATTTATTTATTTATTTATTTATTTATTATTTTGGGGTCACGCCTGGTGATGCACAGGAGTTACTCCTGGTTCATGCACTCAGGAATTACTCCTGGTGGTGCTCGGGGGACCATATGGGATGCTGGGAATCGAACCTAGGTCGGCTGTGTGCAAGGCAAACGCCCTACCCGCTGTGGTCTTGCTCCAGCCCCGCATTTATTTATTCTAATCGATACTCCCAGCGTTTGTTTGTGCCCCACATTGGAGTCATTCTTAATTTCTCTTTCAAGTCCCACATCATAAATATCTAAGCATGGTCTGCTTATTCCAGCTCAGTGAAGTTTTTGAATTTCATCTCCTATTTTCCAGGCTGTTACTTTCTGTCACTTATATCTTATAATCTTATTATTAATAATTTTCTTCTTTGGGCCACACTTAATAGTGCCCACTAGTTCTGGGTGCTCAGAACTAGTCCTGATAAGAATCAGCCTGGTACTTGGTGGAGTAGGCCTGGTAGTTTAGTGATAGGCCCCCAGTGGTTCAGTAGTATTGTCATCAGTCTTAACAGTGCTCACAGCCCATCAGAGGCAACCCAGCAGTGTCCTAGGGGTTACCAAGTTCACATATGGTGGTGCTTGGGAGCCACTTGTCCCAAATCTCCAACCTACTCTGTCATCTACTGTTGTGGTACTTCCTTGGTTCTCTACAATACAGTGAAGTCCAGGATGATAATGAGCATTTGGCAGTCAAAATTTAGTACCACCTATGACCAGTTGTAATTCATGGTGAGCTTCACAGTTTATCACACTCAGTGTTCTGACTACATTAAACTTGCTCCACAATAAAAATTGTGTGACTTATATTTGTAGTTTCCTGTTCTAGAATGCCCTTTAACTTGGTGAAGTTATCTTTATAAATACTAGTCTAAATGTCACCCATGTAAACTCTTTGGACTCTTTAGCAGATTTGCTCTCCCTATATTCTTATAGCACTTGGATTTTACTTAATCACATTATATGGTAATTTTTTACTTTACTCTTTTTTCCTTTTCAGTTGATCTTGTTAAAGAAAGCCACATGACTTTATTTCATATAGCTAATATAATTGTTTAATGAACACGATCTGCTGGGAGTCTCCTTGAAAAGACCATAGTAACATATTATTCAGTTTGTTTCATGTTAGAGATTTCAAATGTATTTGGTATATTTATCCTCCATCTCTAAAACTTTTAGATTTTTCTAGGTTTAATGAATAGTAACCTTTAAGACATAAGTAAAAAATTTGAAAAGCCTCCATCATTCTTAATTTTCTCTTGGATCACAGACTTCAACGAGAGGAGGAGGAAGCCTTTGCCAGCAGTCAGAGTAGCCAAGGAGCCCAATCCCTCACATTTTCCAAGTTTGAGGAAAAGAAAACCAATGAGAAGACCCGCAAAGTTACCACAGTGAAGAAATTCTTCAGTGCTTCCTCCAGGGTTGGATCAAAGAAAGGTAATTTTCTGATTTCTTTTTTTAGTTTTCTTTTCTGTGCTCAAGTGAGATGCAGAGTAAATTCTTAGTGCATATAGTCTCATTTGTTAATTTTTGTAACTTTTGTATAGCAACCTATATTTGAGAAGAAAATTGTGTTTTAGGTCAGATAAATCTAAAACCAAAAATCTCCTTTGAAGGCACTTATAGACAGAAGCTTTATTTACTCTATAAGAAAAATAAGGAGCACTGAATACATAGTTTTCTACCCTATAAGAAGAATAAAGAGCACTGAATACATAGTTTTCTTTTTTCTTTTCTTTCCTTTATTTTTTTTTGTTTTTTGGGCCACACCTGGCAATGTTAGGGTATACTTCTGACTCTGCATTCAAAGATTACTTCTGGGAGTTCTCAGGGGACCACATATGGTGCCAGGGGGTCTAACCTAGGTCCACTGTATGCCAAGGCGAGCTCAATGCCCACCATACTCTCTCTGCAGCCCTACATAGTTTGCTTTAATTTTTTTAGATGATTTATATTTTCTACCTTTAATTTTTGAATCTGGATTCTCATTGGTAGGATATTTTTAACTATATTTTATCAGAAATGGCTAATTATATGCTTGCTGAAGTTATCATAAGATTTTCTCTCTCAGATAGTGCTTGAGAGACAGCTTGGGTCTTGCAGAAGTACATAGAAAACACAGAGGAAAGGCTCACTTTGGACTTTCAGAGGGGTAAAAATAAGCATGGATAGGTATTTTCTAGTGTTCAGAGTACTGTATCTACTTGTTATACATTCTAACCTCGTCTTTTTTGCGGGGGCACACCTGCAATGCCCAGGGCTTCTTCTGGTTCTGCACTCAGGAATCACACCTAGTGGGTTTTGGAGACCATATGGGGTGCCGGGAATCAACGGGCGGGCCTTGTGCGAGACAAAAACCCTACCTGCCATTCTATCTTTCTGCCCCCCTCATCCTATTTCTTAAAAGACTATTTAACCAGTAAAACGATTGTTACCAGTGAGCAGCCAGGTAGCTGAAAGTGACAAGTTATGGTGGGATTCAGTATCTAAACTTCATGTTGGTAATCAGTCAGCAGCACATTTGAAGTGCTAAGGGAGGCTGGGAACCAGTGCTGATATTATCAGAACTATTCTCTTGGACCCCTGCCTCATCCACCTCCCCCAACATGAGGGTTTTTAGTCTGCCTAAAAGTAACGGAATAATTCATCAT